CGTTCGCATGAACGTGAGTGGTTGGTGTGGGTGGTTGAGCCTACCGCGCTGTCTAGGGGGTCGCGCTCCAACACGGTGTCCTAGTGGAGTGAGCGAGAGACGTGGCATGGGAGCGTGAGGTAGGTGAGTGTGGGAGTGAGGTCCTGATACATGAGCATTAGGTGTTAAAATTGGAGATTTTTGTATTTTGTTAATATTTGAGAATCTGGGCTAATCTCAATGTGGTCATCAGTATGAGGTTTACCCTTTCTCCATTAAACATTTGTGAGCTCGGTTCTCCGAACTTTGTGAATAAATAAACCTGTACTTTCTATAATTCTGAGTTTGAATTAACTGCATTTGTTCCACATTCATTTTTATTTGGTTTCTTTAGGGTTACGTTTTATGTACTATATAAGTGGTAAAACACGTTTGGTTACAGCTGCACTTTTTTGTGTTTATTAGTGCCATTTATACACAAAATTCATTTTGCTTTGTTTATCACTAGCTTGTTAAGCTACATCTAGCCAACTGACTGTTTTTATGGATTGAATCTCAGCATGATTAACTCCAAGCTTTATATGATTTTTTTTAATATCATTGTAGCATGAGGATAATGATAAATCTGAGCTCTTACCTCCTCTGTGCGGTATACTGCAAACCGCCAACTCGCAAGTGGTTCCCCTAATCATGGATGCTGAAATGACTTTGGATGATGACATTTGGTTTGAAACAGAGTTAACGGTATGTGGCAGGTGCACTTATTTTCCTTCCTACACAATTTAATGCACAGGACAATCCAGGGAAATAAAATTTAGAAATTCACACGAAAAAGCATCATCCTTTTTCTAAAAATGATTAAAGCTATAAACTGAAAGAATGAAGCATTATTGACACATACCCAGCAAAAGGAATGTGTCATTCACTCTGCCTCTAATACTTCATGCAAGTATGGAAAAAAATGGAAACCTCTCTCTGACATTGTCAGACTGTTACTATTATACCTTCAACCGCACCTCACCATTTTTTGCACCCTTTTTCCCCATACTTTTATATCCAGTCACAGTGGATTCACATATCTTTTTAACCCCTTAAGGACACAACTTCTGAAATAAAAGGGAATCATGACGGACTATTTCCATCATGTGTCCTTAAGGAGTTAAAGTCACCTCAAACCTGTCTATTGTTTCCTTTTCTCTTCCTCTTTCAGAATCTTTTTTTTTTTTTTTCAATTTATCTTTATCTTTAAAACATAAGACAAAGTAGGGACTACTTTATATGACATATATTTTTCTTAAGCTTGCCTTAAACTCCACCCTGTGTTAAGATTTGTCATACACTGGAAAAATACATAAGACAAAATAGTCTCTACTTTGTCTTATGTTTTGAAGAGAAATAGATCAGAAATAAAGATCAGATTTTGGAAGCGGAAGAGAACTGGAAACAGTAGGAGAAAGGCATGTTTCAAGTGGGAGGTTTGCAGCTTTGCCAAGGACGATTTGAAGGTGAAAACTTACCACAAGGAGTTTAAGGACTCCAGTATTTTTCACTACTTCCCTACTCCAGCAGGTTCTGTTCTGCCTTCGTTTACATCAGGGGTTCTCAACCCAGTCCTCAGGACCCCCTACCAGTCCAGGATTTGGGGATTACTTGGGTGTGTCTAAGGTGTATAGAAAAAGGGAAGAAAAAAAAAACCTTAGACTCTAAGGTGTTTTTTTTTTTCTTTTTCTAAACACCTTAGACACACCCAGGTAATCCCTAAACCCTGGACTGGTAGGGGGTCTTTGAGGGCAAGGTTGAGAACCCCTGGTTTACATCTACCATTCGGAGACAAGGCCAGAAGACTCCAAAATCACAACCCTTTAAGGTTTATTAAAGAGCATCCCAATGAATTCCTGCTTCCACTAAACATTGTTGTTTACACAACGTATACATTAAATTATTAGGAGATTAAAATGGGATTTGTATTTTGAATTATGTATGAATTAAGTTAATGCATTATTGTTTTCCCATTTTTTAACAATACACACAGAATAACGATTAGGTATGATTTTATTATGTTTACTATGTCTCACAGCTTGTTCGAATAAAATGTGAAACTGACGGGTTACTTAATCTTCTCCAAGAAGTTGCTCCACCAGACTCACCTGAATTCGTAAGTAATTATTCCTCCAGACCAAATAGTATGTTAACCTTTTGTCAAACAATACACTTTATGATTGATTATTAGAGGCTTCAAGCCCTTGGTAATGAACACAGCTACTTTATGTCTTTTAAGTACAATTCTATTTTACTGTTTTTCTTTTTTTATTTTGACTGGAATTTTGTATTTCCAATATAAGTTGGAGGAATGTCACGATGCCTTGCAACAGACATACAGCTGCTTAACTCAACTGAAGTGTGCGTGGGAACAGCTCTCAAGCAAGTTATATGGAACAGTGAACATGCAGAGAGAGAGAGAAAAGTTCTTACATAAGTATCATTTGTCATCTTTATATGCTTGGTAAATATTTTCTACAAGTGGTTCTATATCAAAGTAACCTATAGACTTAAAGATTCATGCATGCTTTATGGTGGAGATGGGGGATGGTGGGACAAAGGTGTGTCAGAAATGCCTCTGCCACGTTTTCTTGGAGGGGCCTGCTTGCCAGCCTCAGGACTATGGCCCTCTGCAAAATACTGTAAAAAGGCTCTGTTCATGCAAATGGGATTATATGGTTCGGTTCCTGAACAGCTGCACAAACCAGAGACCACCCGGGAGCTTGTTTGGCCTAATTGATCGTTTGTAACACTTTCCACCGCAGTGTTCTACGTGTTCGTCTGGGCGGCCACTGTTTGCATGAACGACCACGAGGAGGCGGCCCTCGAACGCAGGCAGCGGTGTTTGGTTGTCGAGTTCATGGAACTGTTTTCAGACACTGAAACTCTGAACACAGCTGGACTTCAAGGATCGCCTGCGTTCGGTTCTACACAATTTAGAATGGCACTGATCGGTGGAAACGTTCCCACGAACAAGGTGAACAAGCTCCAGGGTAAGAACATTGACTATGTTTGGTAGTTTATTTGGTTTTTAAACTACCGAACCAGACCAACCGCAAGCCTTGATTCTCTGGAACTGTTTTGGGCATGGGACCATGCGTATGGTCGGTCAAATTATGACTTCCAGGAAATTCCCGAACCCCTGAACCGATCTGGGTCATTTTTGGATATGTCGGGGCTATCAGGGGATGTAACTTTTGTGGGGGTGTTGTGTGTTTAAAGGTATTTTGGGTGGTTTGTAAAAATGTATGTTTTCTGTGCTTGGAGATAATTGAGTTTAATACAGTGCTTGACTCAATTATCTCTTGGGCACAGAGGAGGGATTATCTTGTTTTATGTGGGAGTGTTCTGGACCTGAGAGCCAATGTAATCGTGTATATGTTTGTACTGTAATCTACTCTCAGGTCCAGTGAGGAGTGCCCCTTGCATGGGGACCTGCATATAAGGCCAGTTGTGGCTGCCAATAAAGAGTTCCTCTTCATCCTTAACATAGAGCCTCGTCTCATGTGTGGAGGGGACAGCTATATTCACTCTGGGGATTGCTATACTCTTATATTCCCTTGGATTATAATCACTAGCTCTTGTAAGAACTAGCTCTTGAAACTATATTGCTATACCTGCTATACTCTCTTGGAGGATAGGTCTTCTTGCTGGGAGCTGGATCCAGGAGTTTGGTCCAGGGTGAGAAGGGACAGCGAGACCCCAGCCAAGCTGCGGCGGCTAAGGGGCTACGGTGCTTATGGTGTCCGGTGCGGTGCTTATGGTACTCGGCGACAGATAGGAAGCGATTGGCAGAGGCACCCAGTTGGGGTGCTAGGTGGTCCGTCACAAAAGGTTTTTAGACAATAGTATTGGCTTGACTTGAGCCATTAGGCATGGGAGGTCATCTTGAATCAAACTACCTGGCAGTGCCGATCCACCGCTGGTGTGGGTACACCAGGGTTCTGAAATTGGGTGGTCCTCATACTACGGCCACCTGGTGGGCATCTCTAATCCGGGGCCCAGCGGGTGCCCTTTAACAGTGCACCCGACCTGAAGAGCAGACTGGAAGCCTGGGCAAGCCTCAAATTCGCATCATCCTCAGCCAGCAACTGTTACAGTCAGATCCCAGGGAAGACACCCCCTTGCACCCAAAAGGTATAGTTTCAGGAGGGTGGCTATATTAATGCAAATTATGGGAATATTTGTTGTCATCAAGCCTACCTTGTGCTGATTAAAAAAAATATGTATATATATTCATATGGAAAAGAATGTAGAAGTCATTTGTCAGGGTTGAAATGAATTTTATGCAAGGTTTAGAAAAGATATCCGGTACAGTCTACAACCAGAGTCTATGGAGTTATCAAAATTTTACCAACACTTTTACGCCTACGTTTTGGCGCAATATTTTAAATCTGTTGGATTTTTTTCAAATTTTACTTTTTAAATGACTTGTCATTTTTGACTATATGCCATTTTGTCAGCGATTCACCTGATCTGTGAATTTTCACCACTTTGTTGACAGAAATGTGTTGCACTTCTTTTTCCCTCCATTCTAAATTTGTGAAATGAATATTTCTGAACCTTTCAAACAGAAATTTCTGTGAAAATTGGTGGAATTTACTATAAAGTAAAACTTAATGTATATGATAAAATTAATCAGATTTTAACAATCGCTTGCCAGAAAACTTTGATAAATACCTCTTATTGTTCATAGTAAAGTAAAACAGCTCTGTCCAGCTTATTTTGTGTGATGAGAAAGATTTTGTTAGACCTGTGTGCAAAATATTATAATATTACACATATTAGTGCTACTCCAGTACGTTTTTATGGTAGTGTTCTTTGGAGATGTGAGCAGCACTACATGAGATGACATGCAAAATGTATGTATTTGTCCTAAGAAAAGAGATATGTGGAGCAGATAAATGAACACACCTTCTGCATCACAAATCATGTCCAATCCTATATGATCAGACTGTACTTCCAATCACAGAGAGGGAGAAATTGACAGCCTGCTTTCCACTGCCTAAAGATGACCTTGTCTTTTCCCCTTCACCAAGAATTTATTGTGTGAGTATCCAATGACTGATCTGCCTTTTCTTTTTAATGGAGTCACCTACTAAACAGTGCCCAAATGTGGTATCCAAAGTAGGTGAACCCTTATCAGGTTACCAAGTTATGGGAGATATCTACTAAACAACTGAAAGAGAAAAAACAGGTAAAGCGCTTTTTCTTAATTCTGCTCTTTCAATTGCACACCTTAATTTGGTACCCTTAAAGGACCACTATAGTGCCAGGAGAACATACTTGTTTTCCTGGCACTATAGTGCCCTGAGGGTGCCCCCACCCACAGGGTTCCCCTCCCACCGGGCTCTGGGGAGAGGAAAGGGGTTAAACTTACCTTTTTTCCAGCGCCAGGCGGGGAGCTCTCCTCCTCCTCTCCGCCTCTGATCCTCCCTTTGGGCTGAATGCACACGCGCGGCAAGAGCTGCGCGCGCATTCAGCCGGTCTCATAGGAAAGCATTTCCAATGCTTTCCTATGGATGCTTGCGTGTTCTCACTGTGATTTTCACAGTGAGAATCACGCAAGCGCCTCTAGCGGCTGTCAATGAGACAGCCACTAGAGGATTTGGAGGCTGGATTAACCCATTTATAAACATAGCAGTTTCTCTGAAACTGCTGTTTATAAAAAAAAAAAAAAAGGGGTTAATCCTAGAGGGACCCAGACCACTTCATTAAGCTGAAGTGGTCTGGGTGCCTAGAGTGGTCCTTTAATTATGGTACTTCCACGTATGTGTACCAAATTAGGGTGCTATCCCTAAACAGGTAAAAGATCAAAAAAAAAAAAAAACTTTAATATTACTGTTTCAGTTATTCCTTAGTTAAGTCCCTAACTTGCTATCCTTATTTAAAAAGAAAAAAAAAAAAAAAATTGGTATGAAAATGTATGGCTCAATTTGTTAAAGCTTTAATTTTGATAATTTTGTATGCTGACAAATTCGGATTCTTCTGAAATTAGGATGACATTCGATTTGTCCATGTTTCATGTAAGAAAAGCACATGTCTACTAAAAAACACAAACCATTAAATCCAGTTGTGCAGGGCTTAGCTCAGTTCACAATAGAGGTGAGGAGCAGGCACCAGGTAAGAAGTCAAACTGCTTTAAAAAGTTTTGATTGCTCACTGGGAGGGAATCACCGGGCTCTTCTGGCACTAAAACCACTGGGGCAGTGGTTACGGTGCTTAGGGTGTACCTTTTTATATTACTGAAAGAAACTAAACAAGAAAAGTGGGTCTATCATAATAATGGGCAGATGTTAGTAATTTTTGTTACTTCTATCTTTAGGTTCACCAAAATTCAAAAATGCCGTATTGGTCAGGTTTGGATTCAGAGCAGGTCATGGAGGAAGATGCTGGTTATTCTCCTGATGGGCTCATGCCTCTTTCAGCCAGTACAACAAAGAGACAGCATCTGGACACTTGTGCAAGGACTCCTATCGGACCATGTACAGCTGCAGTATTTGGAACCACCACTTTTTTAATGCCACACTTGTCATGCAGCAAGAAAGATGAAAATCTGCTCATTTGGTTGTGTGATAAAGGTCTGAAGTACAGCAAAGTACAGTGTTTTGTTTTGTTTACCGATAGAACTCAAAACACTGATTAAAAAGGGCCACAAACAGGCTTTGTGTTTCAATACTTTAGAATACACGTATCAAACAAATGGATTGAAACCAATTTAAAAAACACTCCAAACACCATAACCACTACAGTCCTCTGTTGTGGTTAGGGGGCCCTGGCTCCCACCATTGTTTTTTAACAGTTTTATTTCTTACCGGAGATCTACCAGGTAAAAAGTGGAGCCTACATGCTGGTAGCTCTCTGAGAGCAATCAGATTATGCCTCAGCCAAAGAGGTAGCCCTGTAGTGCAGGGCATAACTCAAGAGAATCAATGTAAAGTCTCACTTTAGTAAATAATCCTGGTATAAATTATATCCTTAGTTTTAACACAGGAGATCTTTGTATTTATTTCATTGCTTTTCAAACCAGTCTTCTTCCAACAATGTTACTGGTTTTCTAGATATATTATTTGAATGATGGTTTCAAAATAACTGTTGGTAATTGCCACTGTAGGGTTAAGAGACATTGCACCCAGAACACTTCAATGAACTGAAGTGGTCTTTAAAGAGACGTTCCAGGCACCAAATAAACTACATCTAAATGAAGTTGCTATGGTGCCAGAAGGCCCTCAGAGACACTTACCTCAAGGGGTTAAACCGTTTGAGATTGATTTAACCCCAAAGTTGCCTCCAGCGGCAATATCCACCCACCCCAGCGGCATTTCACTTCTACATTTTCAGGAAGTGCAGAGTGCCGACTGGTAGAGTTGCTGACGCTCGCAGTCAATCAGTGCCTCTCCATTAACTAAACTGGCCTGGGGGAAGAGATATCACCGCTGGAGACAACTGTTCAAAAACGGTTTAACCCCTTAAGGAAAGAATGCCTCCACGGACCTCCTGGCACCATAACTGCCTTTAGATTACGTTATTTTGGTACCTTGAGCATCCCTTTAAGATCATTCACACTTGAGTGAAAAAGCTTGTAAATGAACCACAACCAGAAATCAAATATTTTACCAATAGGAGTATTTTAAAGCCATTTGTAACATAGATAATTATGCATTTTTGCAAAGATACTTCTTTTATAGCTGTCAGGAGATATGGCAAGTGCCTCAGCTTCCATACATTTTCCAAATGATTCAATGCGGTTAGAAAAATTTCAAAAATAGTTATTACTACTTACAGAGGTCACCGATAAAGTCTGTGGGAAATGTAGATAAATCATTTGGAAAGTTTTTCTAACAGTTGAGTCACTTTGAAAGCTTATTAAAATGAAGCCAAGGTTACATAAGTGTTCCTCTTTACCCCTTAGGTGTAAGGAGATACTCGGTATTTGTGTTAGAGTACGTATTAAAGTTTCAAATAACAGAAATCATAAAGTGATTTTATGTTAACGATGAATATGGAACTTTTGTGTATGAACCATGGAGTTAATACACGAAGATCCTAATGGGATTGTATGGAAAGCGTTTCCCAATATTATATATATATATATATATATATATATATATATATATATATATATATATATATATATATATATATATTGATTCTATAGTCATAGGTTTTTTTTGTTTGTTTAATTCATTACAATTGCCAAGGTTATTTAGAAAGGCGGTAATTAGTGGAAATTTCCATAAGAAAATTACAGATTTGCCATTAAATTCACATAGAATTTTTAAACTTTTTTTATTACTAGTATGTTTCCCATTACCAGACAAGTTGCACAACCATGAATTCAACAACACACCCTTAAACAGGAGCTTTTAGAAAAAAGAAAAAAAAAAAAAATACTGATGAGAATTTCAATCTTTACACAATTTGAGAAAAATGGTGGCAAGAGCTTCCTCAGCAGTCGTCATCTTTTCGAGCACAGTGATGGAGGAAACACTTGGGAAATTGGTTTGAAATTATGAGAGAGGGGGCACTGCTTCAGTTTTCCTTTGGAAAATAAAATGTTTAAGACAGTCTTTTTGTTTGATCTTCAGTTCTCTGAATAGTACTTTCACCTCACAGTCTGGCGTATGAATTTGCTTAAAATAATATATTATATAGAAAAACAAAATAGGAGTATATGAGGTGAGCACTGGTTTTCATGTCAATTACGTTCATTCCACTGCATTACAAAAGTCCACAAATTTCACTTGCTTCCAACTCATACGAAGGCTCTGTTGGCGAAGAGGCGCATGTGACAAACACCCCCGGGCATGGTACTTGGTTTAAAGAATGACACATTTCCTCTTGGAGGATTTTTTCTTTTTTCCGTTGCTAATCTTCTCTTTGTGTTTACGAATTTCACGCACGAGGGTGTAGAAAGCATCTTCAACTCCCTTTGTTTGTCAAGAAAAAAGAAAATAATGAAAACCATTACAAATTAGCAAAAAACAAAAACATAGATAACTAGTTTTTAGGAGCAAGCTAATGCCAGCAAAAAAGTGACATTCAAGGAACATTCCAAGCACCATAACTACAGCATGCTGTGGTATGTTTTGGTGCCAGGAGTGCCCTAGCGCACCCAAAAAGTAATCAAACATTTGATAACTCAGTTGATCGTGCTCAGACAACAAGCCAAGTCTTGCTCCGCAAGGCTTAGCTCAGAGAGGATCCAGCTCTTTGTTAGACGTAGTGGGCAGGGAGCGATGCCCAGCAGACACCAGATAAGTCAAATTGTACAAAAACTTTAATATTAGGGGGCAATGAAGTTCATCAAACTACTCAATGTCCATGTGGAGAGTATACTAACCTGTCTAGTTTTGGCAGAGGTTTCTATGAATGGGATCCCATAGCTTTTTGCTAGTTCCTGTGCTTGTTTGGTGTCCACTGTCCTTGAAGGAAGGTCGCATTTGTTACCAACTAATACCATCGGAACATCATCAGAATCTTTTACTCTGTTAATCTGCTCCCTGGTGGAACACAAGAAGAGTAATTTGTTACAGTCTTTTAGCCATAAAAGCAAATTAAAATATAAAACATAAGCAAAAATTTGCTGTAAGGTCATGTAGCAACAGGCTATAAAGGTTCAAATATAGTAATTTTGCATGAGGAATTCTCATTTTGCCAGTGAACTGTAGATATAACAATTTCATCTCTTTGAATTGGTTCTAGTGCCTGGAATCTCCTTGTGCTATCCCTTCATTTAGTGTTAAACAATTTTCAAACAGTTTAAAACTAAATAAGGATCCCTGGCCACCTACTGCAAGCGTGGCTAAGGCAGAGATTATACACTTCCCTGTAGTCATACCCATTTATGCTGGCAATGGGCACTCTGATAGGCTACAAGCAGTCAGCTGGCACTCTCAGCCAATCACTGCTGCTTAGGCTAATACTTCCTCATACCCATTGTACAGTGCTACAGAATTTGCTGGGGCTATATTAATAATAATAATTTATTATTATTATTATTATTATTATTATTATTATCCAAAGCACCACATAGGGGATAGGCTGCTGGGAACACTTGTTTAGCATTATAAAAAAAACAAACAAAAAAAACACAACCTGTTGAATGCTGAATTAAAGATTGGTACCAGGGGACTTTAGATACCATAACCACTTAAATGAGATGAAGTAGATCCAGTGCCTACAGTGTTCATTTAATATTCCAATACACAACACATGACACTCCAATGTTTGTGGCTAGGAGAACTGAAAGCTAAATAATACTGTAACATATCTACACATCTAACCTGTAATGGTGAACGTCCTCAAAGGACTTTGTATTATTTATAGCAAAGACACATAAAAATCCTTCTCCAGTTCGCATGTACTGATCCCTCATGGCACTGTACTCTTCTTGACCTGCAGTATCCAAAATATCCAGGAGACATGTCTCGCCATCAATCACCACCTGCTTTCTATAGGAATCCTAGGGGAAAACAAAATTCAAAATAAAAAGAATTTAATGATCATTAGTATCCAAAAATGTGCCTTAGTGGCATTTTTCAAGCGTATAGTTCAGCATGAATTGATTAAAAGAAAGATTTACAACATATTAAAGGGCCACTATAGGCACCCAGACCACTTCAGCTTAATGAAGTGGTCTGGGTGCCAGGTCCATCTAGGATTAACTCTGCCTGCTGTAAACATAGCAGTTTCAGAGAAACTGCTATGTTTATTTTAGGGTTAATCCAGCCTCTAGTTGCTGTCTCATTGACAACCGCTAGAAGCGCTTCTGCGCTTCTCACTGTGATTTTCACAGTGAGAAGACGCCAGCGTCCATAGGAAAGCATTAAGAATGCTTTCCTATGAGACTGGCTAAATGCACGCGCGGCTCTTGCCGCGCATTCAGCCGATGGCGGTAGAAGAGGGAGGAGAGTCCCCAGCACCGAGGGAGCCCGGCTCTGGAAAAAAGTTAAGGGATTAACCCCTTCCTCCACCTTCAGCCCGGCGAGAGGGGGGCCCATGAGGGTGGGGGCACCCTCAGGGTACTATAGTGCCAGGAAAACGAGTATGTTTTCCTGGCACTATAGTGGTCTTTTAAAGAAACACTGTAGTGTTAGGAATACAAAAAAAAAAAAATTATTCCTAAAGCTATAGTGTTATCCTACCTATTTAGGTGTCCGTCCTTCTCTGTGAGCATTTAAAAAGGTAGTTTTACATTCCTTTACTCCCATGCACCGCTGGTCTCACTACAGTTGCCTTTACCACTCTGGCTGAGATAATCAAGAGTGATGATCTCAGCCAATCCAATGCTTTTCCCAGCAAAGCAGTGTAACGTTCGTGTGCACAGCTAAATCGCTACATGATTTACACATTACTCATAAAAGTACACTCCATTAAGGTGTAATTTTGGTGCTTCGAATTTTCCTTTAACATTTATTGAATAATAATTAAAAATATAAATCAGTGCAAGTTATACATTTTGTAATGGTTCATGTGAATAGGCTAAAAGAAATGATTGTCGGAACCAAATATAATAAATGAGAGTTTTAACAAGATGATCTGGTCTAACCTCAATGGTAGGGTCGTATTCATCCACAAAATGGTTCTGGATAAGTTGGATGGTCAGTGCACTCTTTCCCACGCCTCCAGCACCGACCACTACAAGTTTGTATTCAGTCATTTCACCTGCACAGATCGGTCACCTTAAAAAAAAAAAAAAAAAAAGGCATAAAAGATAATGTCACTGAGAACACCCATGCAATATTACAATTTGGTATTTACCATTTCAGTGTTTGCTGCTGGTCTCAGATTCTGCTCTAACAGATAAACCACACAACATAACCTAAGTAAGTGTTTCTGTAATATTTAGCCTGCTTAACAGAGAATATATATATATATATATATATATATATATATATATATATATATATATACTCTATCTCTCTCTCTCTCTATCAAAATACACGTAGAATGAAATAATATATATCTATATACGTGTGTGTGTGTGTGTGTATATATATATATATATATATATATATATATATATATATATATATATATATATATATATATATATATATATATATATATATATCTCTATCTCTTAACATACCACAAGCACAGAAGCTGAATAAAATATAATCTTAAAAACATAACAATATTACACAGAGGATACCATGCTGTATCAGTGAAATGTCTGACTGAAAGTGTAGTCATGCTAAAAGAGATTATAAATAAATTTTTTCAGGAGTGGCTTTCCTTTGTACTTGGTTGTTCAAATCATATCTATGGTGGAGGCAGACTAAAAAGTTTTCAAGATAATACTAAAATCATATCTGGATAGATATACAAAGACACATTGTTATATACTACAGTATATTTTTTAGATAGATATAGGCCTTGAAGGCTGTTATGATGCTAGGAGTGCCATGACCTTCTCCTCTGGGCTGGCTAATGGCGCTGCTGGAGGTGGAGTTCCGCCTTCAGCAACCAGCCTAAATAGGGTATGTGTCACATTTCATGGTGCTTAGAGTATCCCTTTAAGGAAACCCCATTCCTCACCCAGATATATCTATCATCAATATTCAAATCATCTTTTTTTTTCTTTTTCTTATTTGTCTTTGACCCTCTCCTATACTGTCCTCATGCACAAGGTGATTTTAGATTGGCGGTCACAGGTAGGGGATTATATGCAGTAAGAAAGAAGGGGTATTCATAACCACCACACATATTTCAGCTTGGCTACCTTTAGCCACTGACTGATGTTTATAGTTTTTGCAGGCTCCCCAAATAATATTTACCATTGTGCTACAAGAATATTGTTGTACTTGATCTCATAAATTAGGTTTATACAGTATAGCAGATCCCAAAGCAAGGGTAAATTATACATTTAAAGGAACACACTAAACACCGTAACCACTACAACCTGTGGTTATGGTACTTGCAGAGTTGCTTTAAATGCATTTGGAGATATTACAGACTTACATGCTGCCTAACAACCCACAACACCTCCATTTTCAGAGGACTGTGGATTTTACATTAATGTAGTACCCACCCTTCGATCCCACCTTTGTATTATCACTGGCCCTGTTGAGGATTTTTCCCCCGCAAATAGAGCAAGATGCTGACATCAGTCATTCGATTCCTATTTTTCAACAGTATGCATTAGAAACACGAAGATCACTGTGATGAGCAGCAGAACTACCTGAATGATGGTTCTCCTGTACACGCATAACTCATCTTTGCCACAGACCTCTGCTGTCAGAGGTAAATCATGAGAATGGACTGACAGGTGTTTTTTTTTTTTTTTTTTAATGGTTTAAAAAAAATAAAATGATATATTTATTAGCACAATGTCTAGATGAAATACTCTGCTCTTTAATTTAAACTCATGTTGTGTGACATTTTAAAGGCCCACCATGGTGCCAGGAAAACACATACTCGTTTTCCTGGCACTATAGTGCCCTGAGGGTGCCCCCACCCTCAGGGTCCCCCTCCCGCCTGGCTCTAGGGAGAGGAAAGGGGTTAAAACTTACCTTTCTCCAGCGCCGGGCAGGGAGCTCTCCGCCTCCGATCCTCCTCCCTTTCGGCTGAATGCGCACGCGTGGCAAGAGCTGCGCGCGCATTCAGCCGGTCTCATAGGAAAGCATTTACAATGCTTTCCTATGGACGCTTGCGTGTTCTCATTGTGATTTTCACAGTGAGAATCACGCAAGCGCCTCTAGCGGCTGTCAATGAGACAGCCACTAGAGGATTTGAAGGCTGGATTAACCCATTTATAAACATAGCAGTTTCTCTGAAACTGCTATGTTTATAAAAAAGTGGGTTATCCCTAGCTGGACCTGGCACCCAGACCACTTCATTAAGCTGAAGTAGTCTGGGTGCCTAGAGTGGTCCTTTAATGCAGACCCTGCATGGCCTGGGAAATAGCTGCATATTTAGGACGTTCAAGTAATGTATCAACTGCTTTAAAGTACATGTCAAGTCTATATAACGGGTTAATTACATTTGGAGTCCCTTAAAGTGGAAATTTTCACCGCTCAGGATTAAATGCATTAATAAAAAAGGAGCAGTCTAAGTATCAAACCACAACAGGCTCTCAAAAGTCTGACAGGGAGTAACACCAGGGCACGTACAGCATCATTTCATTGTATATATAGCACCATTCATGTTAACTGTCCAATCAGCTGGCAGCCGGGGTCTAATCGCTATCAATTCAAGCATCTGTTTTATTTATCTTAGCTGACAGAATTGCTGATAGCCTACAAAAATATCCCATCAAACACTTGCTGGGTAGGTGTTTCTGGGTTATTCTTAGCACCCGGTGAAAACAATGGGAAGGCCAGGATTGGTTGACAGGTGTCAGCTACTTATTGGTTTGGGCAGAGCTCATAGTAAGAAACCGCAAACAATGGATGTGCGTCAAATGCAGAAACACCAACAGTATTTATTTTTAAATTATAATTTTGGCACTTATCAATGGTGTACCAGCATGAATCCCTGACAAAAAGAGAATAAAAGAACACTATAAGGTCAGGATCACAAACATGTATCCCTGGCCCTATTTAGTGTTAAAAACACCATCTAGGCCTCCTGGACCCCCCTTAAATATAGTATAATCTTACCTTTACTCCAGTCTGCTACTGCTGGCTCTGCTCCTCCTCTGCTGACATCATCAGAAGTGATCCTCAAAGCAAACCACAATGCTTCCCCATAGGAAAGCATTGGATTGGCTGAGTCCGTCAAGGAGGCAGATCAGGGGCAGATTCAGCACATGCCAAACACAGCCCTGGCCAATCAGCATACTCTCATAGAAATGTATTGAATGTATCTTATGGGAAAGTTCAGTGTCTCCATACAGAGGATGGAGACACAGTTTTAGTTGCATTGTGCAGCACTGCCACAGGAAGCACCTCTAGTAGCCATCTGTGGAGTGGCCAGTGGAGGCATCCATAGGCTGTAATGTAAACACTGAATTTTCTCTGAAAAGATTGTTTACTGCAAAAAGCCTGAAGAGAATGCATACACTCACCAGAACAAATACAATAAGCTGTAGTTGTTCTGGTGACTATAGTGTCCCTTTAACTCTAGTCTGGAGTTGCCTTTTAACAGTGATTTCTGCAATAATTTACAGCATAGCAGTCTGTAGAAGAAATTTCAGGATCTAAAATGGAATAAAATTAAACATAGAAATAGCCATGCGACTTTTTATTTTTTTTATTTAGGAACTGCTAAAATATTTGCACTGCTAAACCTACTGGTCTAAAAATATGATTAGCAGTGAACTGATGTGTGCTTTGCAATATTTGTTGTAAAGCAGGGTGAGATCAAAGCCCAATTTGCACTGTAATTCCCTGCTAAAACACATACAAAAACAAATAAAATAAAAATAAAAAACCCACACACCACCACACATCATTGGTTACCAAGCTTGATCAAACCCTGCTGTGATACATGACCTTGCAATAACCTTTTCTCTACCCTTCCACTCTCATTCCAAAAATAGAATTAGGTGCCTTCTGGCTGGTGCACAGTAAGAGATGGTTGGTCTAGTTAGTGAGAAGAACTGGTGCTACACGTTTGTGGTTTAGTAGACCCGCATGACTAATATTTGCTATAAGGTGCCAACATACTCTGCACTGCTGTACAGTGGGTAAACAAAAGACATTGTAACTATGACAAACCAAGATAGGAAAATAGTTAACAATAGGTGATTGTTTACATTCTTTAGGAGTGGGGTTAAATTATACAAAAGGTCAAATGGACGGCAGGTTATCCAGGGGGAAGGCGGATTGCTAGGTGTAACAATATACAGGACATACAATTATAGAAAACTACAAGGAAAAACATGGTATATAGGTTTTAGTAAAGGTAAGACTATAAGAAAGGAGTGGCCATCTACAGAATTCAACAACTGATATGCTTCTCTCTTTAAAAAAAATAAATTAAAAAAAATGCATTTTAGGATTTTTTTTAAATGACTGGAAAAAGCGCAATATGAAATGGGACAAGGAAGGGCATTCCATTAGAAAGGGGTAGCCATAAAGATGTTGAGTTATGAGTCATGGTGAGAAACTATGGTAAATATAAAGTCATTGCCAGAGTGGAAAGGTATAGATGAGGTTATTTGAATGAATTAGAGCTTTCTGAAGGGTTCAGGATTTTAAAGTGTGCTAGTCATTGGTGCTAACGAAAGAGCATTGAAATTCAGAAATACAAAATAAGTATTTGGTCCCTTCCCACCCATCATAAAACTATTGTCAAAGAGGCCAAAGTCAAAAAAGGTAGCTCTCTACCACAGTTGTAGTGATGATTATACATTGTGGCAAGCAGATGGCACTCTGTTCTGATGCTAAAGAGCGAGATGACATCATAGGTTTGGGGATCCCTGCTTGGGGAAGCTTTCCCAAGCAGGGTCAGTCACTTAGTTTGGTGGGGGAGTAGGCTGATAGGTGGGAGTCTGGGTGGATACCAAGATTATGGTTGTTTTGGACATAAACTCATTAAAGGAACACCGGAACCACTACAGCTTTAAGTTAGCGGTTCTGGGCCGTAGAGATGGTCCTTGCAGCATGAGCAGTATAAACTTTTCTGAGAAAATTTAGTGTTTATACTGCTGCCTAAGGCCACCTCTACTGGCTGTTCCTCTGAAAGCCACTGGGAGGACTTCCTAGACCAACACTGAGCATCTCCATGCAGAGTGTGGAGATGTTAAATGCTCCCCATTGAGATTCATGGAGTTAGCATGACGATTCACTATGCACGCACACTAGACTGGAAATCACTGGATTGGCTGAGATCATCTAGGACTGATAATCTCAACTAGGAAAGAAGCATCAAAACAGGAGCGCAGGGGGAGTAAATAATCCAAATAGGATACATTTTTGTATCCTTTTCTAGTGTTCCTTTAAAGAGGTTTGATAAGGAATGTCACTCAACAATCAAAATTAACACCAGTGTGCCACACAGACCAGGTTGACTATCACTCCCTCATTAATTGTAGACCAAAGAAAGAATATCCATAGTCTACCATCAAGTCATTATTTTCTAGCAAAATTAGCAATTACATTTTAGAACATGTCTGTATTCCATAAGGAAGCATTGTGAGACTTTTGTAAATGTGGAGAAATCTCTGTGCTGCGCAAATTGGCATTTCTTAAAAGAGAGGCTTTTATATCAGTGCATCTATATGCAGAGTGTAAAGGTCAACCAATGGTCCTGAATACATTTAAGGACTGCACAAGGAAGCTCCTCTAGTAGTTGCCTGAGTGACAACCACTAAAAGTGACCTTTTGTCGGAAAAGGCAGTGTTTATCATGGTCAGTTGGATTTCTGAAGCTTAGAGTGTACCTTTAAAGTGTCACAGCAGGTTCACTTTAAAGAAGTAGACAAGGCACCATAACTGCTTACAGCATCATTGGGCTGAAGGCACTATTCCCTTGTTCTTGGTTAAATCACTTTACGCTTTGCTTTAAGTAAGCAAGACTCACATCGTGACACAATCCCATGAGAAGGGAAAATACATTATTAGTAGAAAGCATCAACAAAACAATTCATTAGACTGTCATAAAGGACACAGTCATAAAGGAACAGGTAAACTATAAATAGTAGATAGTGACCTTTTTTGACTTTTTTTTAATAGATGTTTCAGTATAGAATCTGAAACAGAAAGCAAATTTGTAGAAGGTCAAATTAAGCTGAAATTTAGAAGTGAGAAAAATTGGAAAGCTAAAAACATGGTTGATTGGAGATGCATACATAGGGTTGAAGAACATCTGTCTAAGTGAAAATTATATTTTAATAAAAAACATACATAATATGGTATAAAAGAAAATAAATTGAGAATTTATGAATTATTTAAGCAAATTCTAAACTGCAACATACATCATGGCTTATGTTTGTTTATTTGGAACAGCAGCAGAATCCCCCTATGAAGTCATGCTCCAAGATGCAGTGTGTGCCCACTCCGTCCATACTAAAAAAAAAAAAAATTTTTATTTTATTTTTATTTTTATAGATAATGAGTAAGTGCACCCCACTATGGAGGTGCATCATAGTCACTACAACATGACTTAGTGGCTAAAGTGATTGGAGTGCCTCTTAAAAAGGTCACCAGGCCCTGTTACAACCCATGTTCTCTTACACTTTTACGAATTGACAAATTTAAAAAGGGACACCAAGCATCAAAAACAGCTTTAAATGGTTACTCCGGGCACCATGACCACTTCAGTCTGTATGTGCACCATTTCACTTTCAAAAGGTGCCCATGCAGAGATTAACCCCTCTGCTGCTGGAGGTTTAACTACAGCTCTGCAGAAGCCGCAAAGCACATCACTGGACCTCCAGAGAGCATCTGAACCCAGAGGTAAACCAGATAAGGGGCAAACCGTTACTAAACGTATTGCCCGATTATCAGGGAACTGGGTAAGGGTACACCTGGCATCATAACCATTACAGATAGAAAGATAGAATCTTTAGTTAAAAAAATAAAAATAAAAAAAAAGAATCTCCAATACAATGTTGGAATTCACTGAAATTCCAATACAAATCAGAATCTCAACTTGTCATTTCAAACCAGCTGTTAGCAACAGCTGAAGAGAATATGCATCTTTTATTGCAATGGGCAAATGACTATGGCAGCTCACTGCTGGAACACAAGATAACTTATGAAAAATCTATTGGTCTTGCTGGGTTTTCCACATGGAAACAGCAAGAGATGGAGCATACGTGGGAGAGAGTCAGCTAGGTAAATTTACTTTTCTCCCTCCGATTCATAACCCATAAATATGCAACCATTGGGAAAACGTAAGGACTCCACAAGTGCCAATTTTGCATTAAACTTCTGAGAAGAGAGATTCACGGTCAAACTGCCAAGGATATCAACAACCATCAAAGTAAGACTTAATGACCCAATGTGTCTCTAAGGTTTTAGCATTAGAAAGTGTTAGTCACCCTGTGCAATGCATGTTTTGTATCCCACTGTACAGTGCTATGGAATCTGATGGTGCTATATAAATAATAATAATGTGACATCATCCACTGCAGTATGTGACTTGAGAGTACACACACAGTCAATCCCAACAAACCAAAAAGTTTCAGTGATCACCTAGGTGCTTTCCAGCACAAGATACATAATCAGGTAAAGAAAGGAGCACTCTCTTGGTTTTCGCAATAGTGTATTTACATAAGCATTTTGAAACCTCTTGGGTTTTTATCAAGATCTTGATAAAGACCCAGGACGGTCGAAACATTTATGTCAATGGAAGTGAATTAATACACGATTGTGAAAAACAAGAGAGTGCTCCTTTCGCTGCATTAACTCACTCTGTCTCTCTCTCTACACACACATTATTATTATCATCATCATTTAGAAAGGCCCCAACAAATTCCGCAGCGCTGTACAATTGGGGAAAAAGACAAACACAAGAAGAACAGACCAATACAACAGGTAGAGGGCCCTGCCCGTGAGCTTACAATCTAAAGGTTGAAATGGGGGTATGAGACAAGAGGTAGCATCATTTTAGTTGACTTTCTTTATTTCAGTAATTGGTTTTGAGTTTTAGACTAAAAGCTGCACTTCAGCTGTTGAAGACGTAAATTGTCATGATGCTCAACCAACTATGATGCACACTCCTATAATGCTCAACCAACTATGATGCACACTCCTATAATACTCAGCCAACTATGATGCACACTCCTATGATGCTCAACCAACTATGATGCACACTCCTATAATACTCAGCCACACAACCATCTTGCTGAGCATCACTGTAACCAATCAGCAGCTGTGGAAATATCACAGCCTGGGTACCTGGGGGTCCAGGTGTGTCCTTCCTGCTCCTGCTGGAGGAGAGATCCTTTAATGCTCAGCCAGCCCCAATGGGAGTGGTAGTCCAACCCTAAATGGAGAGCTATTACTATAATGACAGGCTATTCCCAGGCACCATAGAGGAGAAGGGTGGAAGGAGCGCCTCTTACCTGCTTTCCCAAGTCTCTGCGGCTGTTACCTTTATCTCCCCCCCCCTCCCACAATCTGAGTCTTCCTGCCCCGCGGCTGGGTCTCCCCCGAGGGGTCACAGGTCACCAGCAACTCCCATCCTGCCAGTACCTCTCTCCCCCCTGTAGAGCTGACACCAGAGATACCGGAAGTGCCCACAGCCCTGGGTGGATGGACGCGCCCAGCTGACCAATCAAAAGAAGTCCACGCGTCACTTCCGGTCCTTTCCTGCCGCCAATAGCAGAGGCAGCACGGAGATTGAAAGCCGATATCCCCGCCCCTAAATACGTGTTTGCCTTGCCACACACTCTAAATAGCAGCTATGAACTACGACTCCCGTGATGCTTTGCTTTTTTTGCTCATTCAGCAACGCGACTTACTGAGCATTTCGGGAAATGAAGTCCCGAGCGTTCAGACAGTGCCCATACCTGTAATGGGAAGGGTTCAAACCCATGTTTATTTTCTGCTTGTTTCCATAGTTTCACAGTGACTTGGTAGTAATTTTAACCAATAAAGTAGCTCATAATAAATATTATTAATATTATACATGTACTAATAAAAAAATATATAACAGTCCAATTTAAGTGAACTTTTAGTTTCATGTATGTAGTGTGCTGTAAATATAAATAATATAATAATATTTAGATATCCCTATTGGTATCTTCCCGCATTAATGCCAGTGACACCATAGTGTGCTGCGTCAATATTTTTTTATTGAGGGTTACGTGGTTACATAGGAATCTAGGTTGAAAAAAAAGACTAAATTCCATCAACTTACAATTATTTATATAGCGCCAACATATTCCACAGCGCTGTACAATAGGTAAACAAGACAAACGTAATATAATTTTGCCTCCTATTTAATTCACGTGTACATTTAGACTGGAGAAAAGGAGATTTCGTCTAAGGCAAAGGAAAAAGTTTTTTACAGTAAGAGCAATAAGGATGTGGAATTCTCTGCCTGAAGAAGTGGTTTTATCAGAGTCTGTACAGATGTTTAAACAGCAACTGGATGAATACTTGCAAATGCATAATATTCAGGGATACTATTCTTAATTTGTGAAGTAATATCTTCTTGTTCATAGGAGATATCTGACTACCATCAGAAGGAATGTTTTTCTTAATTTGTTGCAAAATTGGGAGAACTTTAAACTGTTTTGCCATCTTTTGGATCAACAGCAAAAACAAATGTGAGAAAGACTGAATTTGATGGACGTGTGACTCTTTTCAGTCTATGTATCTTTGTAATTCTAACAAAACACATATGACATGCAGGCACAGTAGGTGAAGAGGGCCCTGCCAATCCGAACATGCAACCTGAAGTTAATTTAGAACATATTCTTTTATGCTGTTGATCCAAAAGAAGGCAAAAAAGCAACAAGAAAAACAATTGAAGCACTTTCCAGTTTGCTGCAAAAATGGAAACAATTACTTCTTGACATAAACAGATTTCTCCTTGGATCAACAAACTGTTCACACACATTTAATTATATCTGTGAATATTCTGTTTTTGCTAAAAAAAAATTCACCCACTTATTTTTTTAAATGATCTATAAAATCTGATAAAACTACCTCGCCAGGCACGGAATTTCACATCTTCTTACCATAAAGAACTCTTTCCTCTGCTGTAAGTGCTGTAAGTGACAACCTGGTAAATGACCAAGAGCTTTTTCATTACATGACTGCTGACCCATCCTCCTTTTACCTCCCCGTTGCCCTCCCAATAAGACACCACACACTTTTCTTGAGGATAAGGGCAACGGCCACAGCTTTATTAACTTAATTCAAATCCAATAACCATGACCTGTCAGCTGTTGGGCGGTTAACCCAACAGACAGTTCTCCACCTCTTTTTCCCAAGAGCCTCAACAGCCGGCACTTGCCATCAGCCCTTGTGCGGTCTGTCGTCTCCCCAACTCGACTCCGTTTCTTTCGCCTTTACTCCCAGTTGTGCTGTCCAGGGATCCTGCCAAGCTGTGACAAAACAAGAAACACCAGCAAGACACCAAACAAAACAAAGCCAAAACATCCATAATCAAGGAGAGAGTGGGTGGGAATTTTCACCAGTTTCCTTCCAGAGTCTCTGCTGACTGGTAAGTCTCCTCCCCACTCCTCTCCCCAAACCCCATATCTTTGCAACATTTTATCCAATTTAGTCCAGCCCCCCATACATGGGCAGCAGTCATGATCCCCCTTTCCAAGGTGTACAGGGGGAAACTAAATTATATGAGATTAAAAATAATCTGGGATTGTAAGGGTTAGGACAATTTAAAATAAAAAAACAGAAAAAACTGGTATGGTTTCTGTTGCCATGCTCAGAATATAGCAACTATATTGCCATATAGTGGTTTTCAACCATTTAGCCTGAGCCATGAACACTTCAACACTGTAATAGGGCGAATGCACGATTTGACCATATGGTGGAACTGAACCCCCATGCATGGGCGTCCGCAGGAATTTTTCCAGGGGGGGGGGGCATAATTGTAATGACATCCATGCTTGGTACCTTTTTGACAGTGTCATGAAAGGGAAGGGGCATAGTCATTTTCACATAAAGCCAGGGTGAATTGCGTTTTCACAACTATGGTGTCAGGAATATATGTTTGTATTCCTGACACTATAGTGTTCCTTTAAGCAAATTAAAGGAACATTCTGGTCACCATAACAACTTCACCTAAATGAAAATGCTATGATGCCAGGAAGCCCCTGGGTGCTCGCTTTCCTTTTAGGGGTTAAATCACTCTCAAATGGCTTAACCCCAAAAGCGTCCTCCAGCTCCAGGTCGCTCAGTGGTATTCGGCTTCTGAAACAGAGTGTCAGGAAGTGCAGCTTGACGTCAGGCATGGGTGCCGCTGATTGGCTAGAGTGGACAGTTGACGCTCTAAGCCAATCGCTAGTTCCCGGTTCATAAAATATTTTTACTTTTTTATGAATGGGGAGCTACTGATTGGCTTAGAGTGCCAGCTGACCCTCTAGCCAATCAGCAACACCCCTACCCAACGGCACTCTGTGCTTCCTGACACTCAGTAAATAAAAGTGAACACATTAATACTGATATTTTTTTACCTTTGGAGATGAGAAGGTCCAGAGTTTCCCTGCCAGGCCCAGGTACCAAAGCCTTATGATGTGGTGTCCAGAATAAAGTGGAGGGTTCACTTCATTTGTCCTTCCTGCTCCAATCCCCTTTTCCTCTGCTTCATTTGACAGTCTTCTTTTTCTTCTGACACTGTTTTCTATCCTTGGCCCCTTCTGCTCATTTTGCGCCATTCTGCTCCTTTCTCATTTTGATCTCTTTCTGCTCCTTGCAGACCCTTTCTGCTCCTTTTTCTACTTTACCTTTGTGCTCCTTGCTGTCCCTTTCTGCTCCTTCTCCTACTTTACCTTTGTATTCCTTCTGATTCTTTCTGCTCCTTTACCTTCCTGCTCCTCGCAGGCCCTTCCTGCTCATTCTCCTACTTTACGTTTGTGCTCCTTCTGCCCCTTCCAATTCATTTCTGACCCTTTCTGCTCCTTCCACTTTACCTTTGTGCTGCTTTACCTTCCAGCTCCTTGCTGACCCTTCCTGTTCATTTCTGTTCCTTTGTGCTCCTTCTCCTACTTTACCTTTTGTGCTCCTTGCTGTCCCTTTCTGCTCCTTGATGTCCCTTCCTGCTCATTTCTGTTCCTTCTCCTTTCTGCTCCTTCTCTTACTTTACCTTCCTGCTCCTTGCTGACTCTTCATGTAGGCTGTCTCCCCCATCCCTCATTCCATAGGCATGCGCACGGGGTGTGTCGGGTGTGCCTGGGCCCACTCTAATCCCCGCGGCATGCCAATGGATTGAGACCGGCAGAGGAGATCTCTGGATCTCCCCGGTTGGGTCATGCAGAGCCGGCGCTATCTGAGCGGCGGCTCTGGTTTGAGTCTCCATGGGCCGGTGGGGAGATCAAAGATCTACCTCACCGTTCCACATCAGCATGGAGGGAGGCAGCAGAGAACCCGGGCTAGAGTTCACTCTCCACTAGACCACCAGGGAAGGCAGCAGCACGGGCCCCCCTCCCTACATGAGGTAAGAAGGGAGGGGGGATATTAACTAATCTGCCCCCACCTCCACCCAAACATACAGCACACACACACAAACAGCACACACAGCACCTACACACACACAGCCCACAAACAGCACCCACACACACACAGCACCCACACACATGCAACACCCACACACACAGAGCACACTAACAGCATCCTCACAAACACACAAAACCCACACACAACACTCGCACAGCACCCACACACAAACAGCACACTCACACACAAACAGCACCCTCACAAACACCCAACACCCACACACAGCACACAAACAGCACCCTCACACACAGCGCCCTCACACACAGCACACTAACAGGACCCTAACAAACACGCACACACAAACACCCTCACACACACAGCACACTACCAGTTCCCTCACACACAGCACCCACACACAGCACACTAACAGCACTCACACACAGCACACACAAACACCCTTACCCACATAGCACACTACCAGCACCCTCACACAAATCACACTAACAGCACCCTTACACACACACACACACACACACACACACCGCACCCTTACACACACAGCACTCTCACAGCACTGTATGTATGTGTATATATATATATATATATATATATATATATATACATATATATATATATATATATACATACATACATACATATACATGTGGCTTGTGTTTGTGCTTTAGGGTGCACACACTTCCCTAATCTATAGGCTGCCCTCTCATGCCTCACTCCCCTAATCTATAGGCTGCCCCCCCATGCCTCACTCCCCTAATCTATAGGCTGCCCCCCCATACCTCACTCCCCTAATCTATAGGCTGCCCCCCCATACCTCACTCCCCTAAGCTATAAGCTATCTCTCCCCTCCATCCCTCACTTCCCTAATCTATAGGCTGCCCCCCCATGCCTCACTCCCCTAATCTATAGGCTATTTTAAACCCCCCCACCCCATCCCTCACTTACCTTATCTGTAGGCAGTCTCTGGCTGTATGTGTTGCTCCCCTACGGTTTTAATCAGCAGAGAGAAGCAGGGATAGATGCAACTTTCTATCCCTGTCTCTCTCCATACACAGCGCCACCTACTGGCTGGCGCCAGTATTGCAGTTCATTTGCAATCACACGAAAAATAGCAGAACAAGATGAAAAATCCAGGGGGTGG